GTAAGTGTGGTTAACAGACTCTGTAAGGGGAAGAACCTATATTCATATGCTTCTAAAGTTGAGTGTTCTTCTGAAGTTTTTAATGGTATATAAGTAAAAAATACGAGTTTAAGTGGCGTTAAATTGCACCATGTTCGTGATATGAAAAAGTATATCAAAATCAGTTTTAATACATCTTTTAGATTCTCTCTAATGTCCTATACTTATTGTACCAGCAGTCCTGTACAAATTCTTAGTACTACTAAGGTTCTCTTGGATGTAAAGTAGTGTCGAAGATGAGTCTACATCTTATGGGTCATTATCACAGTTTGGTTTGTATGGTGCAATAAGAATATTCATGATGGAATAAGTTGTCGTAATTTTTACTACTATTACAGGTCTCTAAACCATTTATGAACTGTAGTCAGGATATCGCCCGTTTTTATAAACCGTAAAATGCAAAGTTTAACTGTTACCCACAGTTTACATAGAAGCTAGTAAAGTGTAACTTTTTGCCTGTCTTATAAATCAGTGTAATTACATATTCAACTTTAATTACTGGTGCGTCTGTATTGGCAAGGTTTATATGTTATATTTTATGCAAGACTACGATTCCTATTAATATTTAGCAGCTAACTATATCATTAATTACTCTAAAATCTTTCCCCTACCATCTTTTTAATGGAGCTGAGAGAGTAGATGTATTAAAAATTGATGTATTGTGGATTTCAGAAATGTGTATGACACTTTAAAAAATGCCTGTCCTTATTCAATAGGCCAAGCTTATCAGTTTTTGTTTACTAAAAAGTACTGACCCCGGGAGACCTTAGAATTCTGGGGAAAAAAATTAGAATCTGATTAATGAAGTATATACACCATTCAGTAACTTACGTCCGTACTTCCTAGAGTTAAACGTCGTATACTTCTAATTTCAGGTTATTGAGGTGAGAAAAATGACTTTCTCTCATTTTTCTATTTTCTTCTCCTATTTTTGTATTAAATATCTAGTCAAAGACCCGAAAGAGAAATGTGGTCTTTATCCATGCCCATTTCCATTTGACCTTTCACAGGATGTTATTTTTGTTGACTTTTTAAACATCTTATTCTGTTTGACTTATTAATGTCTTTCAGATCATGTGCCTAATTGCTTTATAGCACTTTTACTCTATCACCTTTGCGAAAAACACACTGTGAACATTAATGTGTTTTATCAGGTTCCAAACCATTACTTTTTCAAAATGGAAAAATTTGTCTTTTGGAAGTGTCTTTAGATGTATTAAATAATACAAAAGAAGTAATAAAACTCGAAGTAGAAAGAACATGAATATATGCTCTTGAGAGTCGCAGTACTCTAAAACAAGGGAAGTGAGCAATCAGACAGAAGTTTTTATATCCCTGCTTTGTCCCCTCAGCCATGCAGTGGGTAGCTTGAGGCCCTTTCCTTTCAGCAGTCCTCCTGAGTATGCTAATGCTCACTCCCTGTATAAAATGCTAAAACAATGAAACTTTAAAGAGCAAACAAGAGTTAGATCCTGTTTTCCCCCTTTAAAAAAAGACCTATTTCAGGGAAACGAAAGACATTCGTAATAAAAGTGTTTAAGCTGTTGATGCAACTCCCTGTGCTAATAAGCAGTATATAGTGATTGTTACAGATCTTGGAAAGAGGATATGTAAAGAAGTATTTTTTAATATAATTGTCCAGTGATAAGAATATTAAAATAAAAAATTAATGATTCAATAAAATAGTTTATTAAACATTATATTTTAGGACCTGAAATAGTAATTGGGCTAAATTATGGTATTGTTAGGTTAGTAGTATTTTTCTTTTGGCAATTTTAGATTCTTCCTTTTATTATTAACTTAGTTACAGTTTAATTGTGAAATATCTCAGAGAAAAAAATAATATGTGTAAAACAATATATAAAAATTGTATATTTAATGTCTGATGTACTGCCACTATGGGTATATAAAACTAAAATGCTCATAGTCAAAATAGCGTACGTTTTATGCTTATATGAATTAGTGCATGTGAAAAATATTCATGTGTGTTTTCCATATAGAGACAAAAGGAAAGCTTCTCTCAGCTTGTAGGAAATAGATCTCAGAAAAGATAAAAATTAGAGGAAGATCAAATCTTGTCTTTTCTTAAATTATACAAATTGTAATCAGATTTTTAATTACCTTGCCAAATATTGTCAACATTTATTCTTTGAATCTGTTTCTGCTGCTATCATTAACTTTTTGTATATTAGGTGTCAAATATTATTGATGGAACATCACTTCAATGTTCTGTATCTTCATCTATATAGAGTCTTAAAGATGTTTGTACTTAAAGAATGTTAGGCATTTTATGTACATTATGAGGCAAACAAAAAATTTATCTAATTCTCTCAATCCAAATTTGGCTGCATATAATTGAATGCACTTCAAAGTACTCTGAAAATTAAACAGAAATGAAAGACATTTTATAAAACATAAATAGCATACTGTGTGTCCTGAAATGAAGTCATGGTACTTGTCATTGATATTGCTGTTTTGGAAGGGGGGTGGGTATGCTGGTGCAGTTGTGAACGAGAAGCAGAAAGGCCTCGTGGTCTCAGTACACGGGCTCTGGTGACAAACTGTAGAGGTTCCAGTCCCAGATTTAGCACTTAATAGCTTAGTAGGATTCATTTCTTTCCTCCGTTTTCTCAGCTGGAAATGAGGTAAGTAATAATAATACCTACCTCATAGGATTCTTGCAAATGAAATGAGTGCCTGGAACATAAGAATTGCTCCCTATGTCCCTCGTAGAGCTGTGTACACAGTTTCTGGTTTATATTACCTCTTGTAATACCTCATTGTTTCTATAAATGAGAGTATAAACAATATTAAAATATTTCACATTTTAATACATTTTTCTAGCCACTCCATAAATGTGTGATTAGTCTCTTTGACCATTCCTTTTCTTTTCCTCCCACCTCCTCTTATAATTCATGAAGTAAGCAGATCCATAAAAATGAAACAATATGAGACAGGAATTCATGGTAGGGAGCACATTACTCAGGGTCAATCAGAGATTTTTGAGATAAGAAGATGTTATCTGAGGTTGTAGGCAGTGAACAATTCAAATAGAGAGAACAGTATCAGCCCAGAACAGGAACTCCTGATATGTGCCTAGAAAACATTGAGTATTAGATTTGAGAGGAATTTAGAATATAAAAAGGGAAAATAGAATTTAGAATATATGAAGTGGGACCAGACTGTCGAGCATCTTAAATATCAAGCTATGGTGTTTGTTTGAGTCAGTTACGGAGCCTGTTAATGTTATGAGCTTGAGTTTCACACGATCGGAGCTGTGCTTTAGGAAGAGTAATCTGAAAGTGTACTGAAGGAACCATGAGTGAATGAAGCTCATGTATGGTAGGATATTCTGGGGTTGGGAGAGACGGGAAGCAGAAGATTGATTCTTGCAGTGTGTAGTATCTGACTTAAGTAAAAAACTGGGAGTGGAGAACAAGAAATTGGTGAAAGAATGGCTGTGAAAAGAAATACCAGAACAAGACAACAGATTGAATGCTGGGGACAAAGAGGAAAATTAGGAAAAAAAATCACAGCAACTTTAACAGCCCACAAAGAGAAATAGAGGACACAAGAGGGCAGGCTCACTAGGGAAAATGATGAGTTCAGCATTTACTTGCTGAATCCAAGAACATAAATGTCCTTAGATTCAGGAAAAAACAACACTTAAATTTTGTTTTTTGGTTTAGTCCTTTTATTCAACTCCAAAATAGTAAAATCCTACATAGTAGAATATAGAAGTATTCCTGAGACTGGTGGAGGAGATGTTCTGAAGCTTTAGAAGAGTAGAATAGCTATGGATTAGTGCTTCTTATAAATTATTTTTGGAGAACAAGAGATGCCAAATTATCATCCATATTCCTTGTTTGACCCTCCATATTTAACACTGTCCCTCCACTCCAGTTTTTACTCTTAGAATGTCCTGAATGAAGGCTTTTGCCAAATTAGTGCATTTCTTTCGCCTTAACTGTTTGCCTTTCTGCCCTTTCCTTTTTCTGCTCCTAGTCCTTTCCCTTACCTAAATTTTACCTTTCCTTAAGGGCTTATTCCTATTTTCCCAGGAGGCTTTCCCAGATAATTTTGCTGTCAGGACCTACATTCTGCTCCACACTGCTGAGGGGCTCGCTCCTTGTACCATTATCTGGAATAACTCGCTGTGTGTGTGAGCACATGCGTGTTCGTGCATACATGCATGCTCATTTTGCAGATGTCCCTAGCTTAAGGACAGAGACTATGTTTTAGACATGTCATAGTGTCTAACACATTATACCATGCAAAGTAAGCATTCAATAACCATGTGATACTGATTACGAAGAATCAGATGGGAAGTGACAGTTAATTTGAAATGGTTTGATTTCAAGAGGTAATCCCTACAAAAGTGAAATCCAGGATTCTCTTAGAACCCTGAAAAAGAAGGGAGAACGAGAGATTTGGGGAAGGAGAGATAAGTAAATATAACATTCATCTTTATGGGGGAGCTAAGAGATCTTTCTAAATATTGATAGAGTATGCTTGTGAAGTTTTATTTTTAATTTTAATTGTTTAGTTAATATGTATTTTAATAACTGTCCAAATTTATGTGAATAGAAAGTGGCAGGCCCCTTCACCTCATTCATGATTATCCTTCCAGACCTTGTTAAATTTTATTTATCTTGTTGAAGGTGAATTGAAAAAGAAAAAAAATTATTGAGATTAATGCAGGATTAATCAGATGAATGTTCAAGGGAATTTTAGCAAAAAGTAGGAAAGGTTAAAGCCAGGTAGAATTATACAGAGTCTACATAATAATTTTTTGAGACTTGTTTTGATTCTTTTCAGTCAAATAGATTTTTAAAATCTTTATTTTCCACTGCTGTTGAAAGAGTTCTAGAGCCATCCATGGTCTGAACAAATGTAAAGGATACTTCCTTTAAGAGTCTGAGCTGAATATCATTACAATAAATAAAAACCTCCTTTATGCA